TGTGAAAGCTGGACAGTGAATAAGGAAGACTGTAGAAGAATTGATGCTTTTGAGTTATGGTGTTGGAGGAGAACATTGAAAGTGCTATGGGCTGCAAAAAGAACCAATAGATCCGTTTTGAAAGAAGTGCAGCCAGAGTGCTCCTTAGAGGCCAAGATGGCCAAACTTTGTCTCTCATACTTCGGACAGATTGTTAGGAGGAACTAGTCCCGGGAGAATGATACCATGTTTGGTAAGATGGAGGGTCAGAGAAAAAGAGGAAGACCCCCAATGAAGTAGATTGGCCAAGTGGCAGCATCGATGGACTCAAGTGTGGCCACAGTAGTGAGGTTGGCCCAGGATCGGGCAGTGTTTCATTCTGCTGTACATTAGGTTGCTATGAGTCAGTACCCAATCAATGGCACCTAACATCAGTAACAACAAATCATTCGGAACTGACTGGTTGGCATTTAATAACAATAGTATCTCATAAAAGATTTGTATCTAAAATATATAAAGAATGCTTAAGAAAAAAACTTAGTTTTTTTAAATGGAGGAAATGCAAAATATTTAAATATATAATTCATCAAATAGACATACAAATGCAAATAAGATATACAAGCATTATTTGTCAAAAAAATAATGCAAATTAAAACCACAATGAAATACTGCCACATACCCCTAGAGTTGTTGTGAAGTGCCGTGGAGTGAGTTCCAACCCATAACAACCCTGTATAGGGTTTCCAAGGAGCAGATGGTGAGCTTGAACATCTGACCTTGCAGTTCAGATGGCTTTTCAGTCTGGCACATTAACCAACAGTGCCACACCAGGACTCCTAGAGTGGTTAGCATTAAAAACACCAACAATGCCAGTTGTTGGCAAGGGTAAACAACTGATACTGTTATCTCTACATGGCTGGTAGAAATCAAGAAATAAAGCAATTATGACTTTAAAAGTTGTGCTGAATTTAATTCTTTTCATTTTAAGCATATTTCATGGATAAAGTAGCTGAATAAATTTTGTAGAATTGATATCATTGAGCTGAGCATTGTCTTTTCTTTTTCAGTTAAAAGAAATGTTTCCAGGCTTTCGATTAGCACTTCCACCAAAACGCTGGTTTAAAGATAATTACAATGCCGATTTCTTAGAAGATAGACAATTGGGATTACAAGCATTTCTTCAAAATTTAGTAGCTCACAAGGACATTGCTAACTGGTATGTAATAAATTAATGTAAGATTTTAAAGACATTCCAAGAACAGGCTTAAACTAAGAATAAATGTAAAACATGGTTTTACATATAAGCATGAAAATATAGGATAGGATTATAATTTGTCTTTCTTTCTCTCTGTAAGGACTGTATTTGGTGTTTGTGTTTTATCAGAACTTTTGAAGTCAGAACGCAAGTGTATAACATGTTATGCTAAACCAACCAACAACAAACTTGATTTAATAATTAGTATTTTAACAGTCATTGAAACAAAATGAGCTAACATATTGGTAGGGTTTTGGTTAGTATTACACTGCATATCTTTGTGGATAATCATCCTTTATATTTTCTCCAAACTAGTGCAAAAGTATGACAGTTATGAAGTTGGGTTAATTTATGTAGAAGGCAAAATGAAAATGCTGAAAAACACTTAAAAGGGGGAAGGAATGGGTCTATATAGTATTTTTTTGTTTCAGAATATATTTGCAAGAAAACTACTTTATGAATTAATAATAGTTGATCATGCAATTTTGCAACTTACATTATCAGATAAATGTGAACTATTTTGAAGAAAGTTGAGAGTGTTTACAGCCTATGTGTAACTATCTGTAGTATTTTACCTAAAGGATGGAAAACACAGCCGTGTGTTTCACTTGTTCTACCTTTTTTTCTTCAGTCTTTCTTTTATGTATTTCACCTTGTGTTATATATAACACACACATATTGGACATGTGTGAGGGGGCTTCAAGAAGTTCATGGAAAAATGGAATGGAATTAAAAGATAATGGAAAAAATAGAAGCAAATGCTGTTGAATGATTATGCATGGCAGGGATTGTAATCATTACAATGAAACAAAATATAATAAGATGAGTGCAAAACCTCATGTTATCCCATATAAACTACCACTCAATTTACAATAAAAATAAAAAATATATATATACATATATAATACGTATATATTAAAAATGGAACTTTCCACAAACTGTTTGTAGCCTCTTTTTACATCTTCCTGTGTAAGGTGTGCTGCCCGAGCTTCTTGGGATCCCTGCCTGTTCCCCCTTATTCTTCCAATTTTTCTAACAAGTTGCTGCAACCCAGAACCTTCTCTCACCTCCCATTTCTTATATTCAGTGGCCTCTTTGGCATCTCCTGTGGATATGTCAGTTATCTCAAACATAAAAGAGACTTAAAGCTTACTCTCTGAACTTTTCCTCCATTTTTCAGCATCATCATATGCCGAGAATCTCAATATTATCCTTGACACATCCTTAACTGCCTTATCTCTTTACGTTTTAAATGCCACTTAAATCTGTTTACTTTTCTTCATCCCTTAATCTAGTCTAATACCACTGCCATAGTCTAGTCAAAGCAGTTGTTTATTACCTTAATTGCTGTAGACACTTCCCACTGGTCTTCTGCATCCACTGTTATTCATTCAGTTCACTGGAGTCAACCTGACCTTTTGTTATGCAGTCTAGTTAATTTTTCATTCTGGCCCCTGTCTACCTTCCTGTCTTTCCAGCCCTGAGTTTTATTCTCCATACATCACATATATTGGTCTTTATTTAATTCTCCAGAATCACCTTCCTCTTGTTCCCTCAAGGTCTTCAAATATGCTACCCACTCTGCCAATAAAGGTAGCCTTTCTCACTGCTACCTTCTCCAGTCCTGGCCTAGATAATCCTGTGTATACTCTCAGATTTCAACATAAACTTCACTTCATTACGCTTTCTTTATCCACCACTGCCATCACCAGAGACTATGTCAGTTCTTTCTCATCATACCGGCACCAGTCCTTCTCAACTGATTCTGAAAGCCAATTCCTAATGCCTCAAGATATTCACTGTGTGCACTCAGGTAACTTCCCCTCTGGTAGCATAGTGGTTACGAATCGGGCTGTTAATCTCAAGGTTAGCAGTTCAAAATTACTAGCTGTTCCGTAGGAGAAAGATGAGGTGTTCTGCTTCTGTATAGATTTACAGACTCGGAAACCATGTACAGGGTCGCTGTGAGTCATAACCGATTCCACTGTATACCACCACTACCACCATGCTTTGAGATTGATACTGGTTCTATATCAGTCTCAAGAAAATATGATCACTCAAATCATTTTTAGTAGGATTTCTCATGAAATCCCACTTTAGTGAAAGCTGGTTGGTGTTTCTCTTCATACCATGTGAGCTTTATTTCTGTGATGATTTGATTGGGTTTCCCTGCCCAAACTACACAGTTCATAACAGCAGGTCATGTGTCTATTTTAATCATCACTCATTGTCCACTGCTTAGCACAGTGCCTGGCACAAAGTGGCTGCTCAGAAAGTACTTGTTGTATAAATGACAAAATTAATTGGTATCTACTGTTGTGTTGTCTAACTAGGGAAAAAAATGAAGGAAATAAGACAAAATTTGACAAGTATATGTCTTGCTGTTGTTAAGCTCTGTCAAGTCAGTTTCAACTCCTAGTGACCCTGTATAGGATTTCAAAGAGCAGCTGGTGGACCTGAACTGTTGACCTTGCAGTTCGAAGTCCAGTACCAATCCTACATCACCTTTGGGACAGTGGGTATTTCCTTCTTTTCTGAGTTTTGTTTTTACAATTCTCAAAATAAAAAAGAAGCCAAGATACGTGCTCATCAAACACACAAAGCAGGAGTAAAAAGCACCACACACTAAAATCTTAGAGAGTGCCTTTAGAGAAAATAAATTCTTACCATTCTAGGAAAATGACTCACAACTAAGAAGTCCACACATTAGCCCCTTTCTCTTGTTTCTGATTCAGTCAACCTTTATGTCTTATTAAAGTCCAGTTCTACAAAGAGTGTACTTTTATCTGATGAAATATTAAATAATATAAATCAGGCAAATGAACTCATCTTGTGACTTTTTGTTTTGCTTAAATAGTGAAAGTGTGTTTTGGTTGAAATAATTCAGATCTTTTTTTTTTTTTAATTACTGGTAATAATGCCCAGTCTCTACAGGCTGCATTACTGGGAACAAACTTGAATGTTTCTAAAACTGCATATCTCAAAGTAGTAGTACTGGTGTTGATCCGTTTTTAAATAGGTATTTCATGGGAAAAAAAGGGTCTATGGTCAAGTAAGTTAGACAAACTTTTCATTTTGTATTCCTAGATTATATTAAAAGTTCTAAGAAATCTTGCATAAAAGAATCTACTGTACGTTGCATTTATATGCATACCTACTTTTGTCATATCAAATTATCAGACATGCCAGGAATGCAGTGAAATCACTTAAACTCAAAACAAGCGTCATTCTGCCCAGTCCCTCTGTTATTTTCTTTTTGGTTGAAGGTTAGAATTTTTTTTTTTTTTTTTTTACTAAAAGATGTTTTTTAAATATATTATTGCTCAAAAAATGGGAGGAAAGGAAAGGTTGTTTAACAATATCTTAAGTGTTTCCTCTGTATCATGCTAAGAAGATAATGAAAGAAATTGAAGGTATATTGATTGTTTTTAAAACTCATTTGGAAGAATTAGGCTTCTGATTTTTACAAAATAAAATTGCACAATGCTACATGGTATGATACAGATTATAACTATAACAGAAACTCAGAGGAAGAGCTGTGCTGTCTGCAATGAACAAGCAATAGTTGAAATGGGAATAGGATTTGAGAGCACTGGAGGCTAAGCAAAAATGTTGACTAGGAAGATGGATATGAAGTCAAACACAAATAATTACATAATGTATAGAAAGTATGAGGCTATCCAATGACTATTTATTAGTTGAAGGGCAATCCATTAAAACAAGAATACTACTTTGTTGAGAAAATGCTCTAGAAATATCTCCCTTCCTCTCAGTTCTGATCCTTCTGTTTAAAAACGACTCATTCTCAAAGCATCAGGCAATAAATTGGTACTGTGTTTTTCCATCAATGTTAGGATTACTACCAAACTACACAGCAAAGATTTTAAATACCCTTGCAGTATAAATTCAAGTCAGTTCTGACTCAGCTAACCTACATACAGCTGAGTGAAACACTGCCTGGTCTTGTGTCATCCTTACAGTTGTTAAGCTTGAGCATTGCTGCTATCACAGTGCCAGCCATCTTGTTGAGGGTCTTCCTTTTTTTCTCTAGTGCTCCACTTTAGATAGCAAAATGTCCTTGTACAGGGATTGATTCTTTCTGATATCATTTCCAAAGTATGAGATATGTAGTCTCCCCATCCTGGCTACTAAGGAGCCTGCTGGCTGTATTTCCAACACAGAATGGTTTGGTTTTCTGGTAGTCCATGGTACTTTGAATATTCTTTAACAACATAACATAAATGCATTAATTCTTCTGTGATAATCCTTATTCATTGTCCAACTTTCCCAAGCATATGAGGCTATTGAAAATACCGTGGCTTGGATCAGGCACACGTTCCTCTTCAAACTGATATCTTTGGTCTTGAACACTTTAAAGAGGTCTTGTACAGCAGTTTTCCCTAATGCAATACATCGTCTGATTTCTTAACTGTTGCTTCCATGAATGCTGATTGTAGACCTAAGCAAAATGAAGACTTTGACAACTTCAATCATTTCTCCACTTTTCATGATATTATTTATTGGTCCAGTTGTGAGGAATTTTGTTGTCTTTACATTGAGGTGCAATCCATGGTAATGACTGTGGTCTTTGATCTTCATCAGTAAGTATTTTAAGTCCTCTTTGCTTGCAGCAAGCAAGGTTGTATCATTTGCATATTATTGCAAAGCTGCAATAATGAATCTTCCTCCAGTCCTGATGACACATTCTTCTTCATATAATACAGTTTCTGTGATTATTTGCTTAGCATAAAGATTGAATAGGTATTGGTAAAAGAGTACAACCCTAGCACTTACCTTTCCTGATTTAAACCATTCAGTATCCCCGGTACCATTCAAACTATTACCTTTTGGTCTATGTACGGGTTCCTCATGAGCACAATCAAGTGTTCTGTAATACCCAGTTTTTACAATGTTATCCATATCTTGTCATGATCCACACAGTCTCCTGTGTAATTATTATGAATCAGTGTTTTATGTTGCTGTATTATTATTCTGAATTAATCGTTTTCATGTAACAATAAATTTCTAATCTTTGTTTATATTTATAAGAGCTATAGAATTGTTTAATATCTTTGCTATCTCCTATAGATTTAATATTTATATTTGGTTACCTGTACGAAAATATACACCAGTGTGTTTACTTTGGTATTGCAGTAGAACCAACTGGCTTAAAACACTGTGTAACCTCAAAGTGACTTGCTTTTAGCTATGTTTAGTCAACTTTTTTGTACTACATCCAGCTCATTTGTTTTTCCTTTGAAAAGCCTTGCAGTGAGAGAATTTCTTTGTCTGGATGATCCACCAGGTCCTTTTGATAGCCTAGAAGAAAGCAGGGTAAGTGCTGTCTTATATATCACATGGAAAAAGAAACAAATACAACAGAACAATAACTACATTGTTGCTTGAAGGGACTAGCCAATATTAAAATTTTAGACTAAGGAAATTTTTAATGCTTAAGTAAAAGGTTTTATTTCATTTAAAACACATGAAGCTAGGTAGTGAGGAAAAATTAACGCCTGTCATATAGTTAATGAACCTCTGAAATTAAACCTTGCATTGTGTTCTCTTTACTAGTATATTAAGAAAAAAAAAATGATTTGAAAAAACGTATTTACTGCATTTAAAAAGTACTATTCTGAATTTAATTCCATCTTTACTGTCAAAGTAAAGAACTACCATTATAATCAATTTTAAAATTAATTGTTTTTATTCTGTTATCTTAAGAAGTAGAAGTGATTGTCCTGTAAACCAATTCACTTCATGCCTGATACTACTCAAATTGCATTAATTGACGTATTAAAGTGGCCTAATTCTTGAAAGAATAGGCTAGATTCACAAACAGATTTGGTAACAATAGATTAGGTAAGGTTTTACTCAAGTTTTTTTCCTAAATGTTTATTAATATTTAAATGAAACATTTACTTGGTAAGCTTGTAATGTTTTTCAGCTAAACTGACTCAGTTCTTTGTATTAAGAGTGAATGCCATGTCTTTTTAATATAATTCTACTGAAATGAAGTTTTTACCCATAAAACTCACCCACTCTAAGTACAGAATTTAATACTTTTTAGTGAATTTACAGAGTCGTGTCACCATCACCTCAGAAAACTTTAGGCTGCTTTCAGTGCACAATCCCTGCCCCAAACAATCACTAATCTGCCTTCTGTCTCAGCAAATAACCTTTTTCTGTCTATTTCATATAAGTACAAACATCCACTACATATCAATATAGACAGACAGACAGATAGGTAGATAGTAGTAATTAGTAGTTAGGTGCCATCAAGTTGGTACCAACTCATAGCAACCCTGTATACAATAGAATGAAACAGTAACCAGTCCTGGACCATCCTTACAATCATTGCTAGGCCTGAGCCCATCGGTGCCACCACTGTGCCAGTCCATCTCATTGGGGGTCGTCTTCTTATTCCCCAACCCTCTGCTTTACCAAACATGATATCCTTCTCCTGGGAAATCATGAGAGACGAAGTTTGGCCATCCTGGCTTCCAAGGAGCACTTTGGCTGTACTTCTTCCAACACAGATCTGTTTGTTCTTTGGCAGTCTATGGTACTTTTAATATTCTGCTCCCAAACCATAACTCAAATGCATCAATTCTTCTACAGTCTTCCTTATTCACTGTCCAACTTTTGCATGCATAAGAAGTTATGGAAAATACCATGGCTTAGATCAGATGCACCTTAGTCCTCAAACTGACATCTTTGCTCTTCAACACTTTAAAGAGGTCTTTTGCAGAAAACTTGCCTAATACAATACACTGTTTGGTTTTTTGACTGCTGCTTCCAGGACTGTTGATGGTTGTTCTGAGCAAAATAACATCTTTGACAACTTCAGTCATTTCTCCTTTATATGGTTGTTGTCTATTGGTCCAGTGGTGAGGATTTTTGTTTTCTTTACATTGAGATGCAATCCATACCAAAGGTTGTGGTCTTTCATCTTTATCAGTAAGTATTTT